ACCAAAAAACACATTAATCTTACAATCAATACAACACTCACTCTCTCCTCATTTATAGCCGTAATTATCGCTCATTTATTAGTGAATGAAATCATGTTTTAATCGCGAAATTAAAACATTTGTAAATTTTGTTTAAATTGAATGCAATTTTTAAAATGATTATTGAATTGCAATTGAATTAAAGGTTAAATCTTTATATCAATTGACTTTTCATTTGAGTTGCAATTAATTGCAAAATACATTTCAATAACCGTTAAGACCTCTAAAGTGTGTAAAAAGCGCTCAAATGAATGAATATTTGAATTTAAAAAACAAAACAATGAAAACAAATGTCTTTTGATTTGCAGTGAAATTAGATTTGATTTAAAAGTCATTTCAAACAAATAGTTGATAAATGTCTGAAACGGTGGACACAAACGGTGAGACAATCGCCCGCACGAGCGCTACCGACGAGACCACTGATGGCAACACTGAAGACACGCGTGAAGTCGTGCCAAATGATGGCCACAATAACGGAGACAATGAAGAAGAGGGCGACGGAGAGGAGGAGAACGATGGCGAAGGAGTTCCCGATATTAGGTCGTTGTTGTTCGGGAATGAAGAGGAATACGAAGAGGACGACGACGACGAGGAGGAGGACAACGACACGCCTGAAGACAGTGCCGTTGGATCTGTTGCATCAGTCGGTGATATAAAACGAGGCATTAAGAGTGTTGTGGTGTCGGAGTCGGAAGAGACGGCTTCAAAGCGGCCCTCAAGTGAGTCAAGCGATTCCACGACTAATAAACGTATTAAAGCGGAACCAATAGATCAAGAGTCGGACACTCAACACACATCTCAGACGGTTGTGGTTTGAGATTTGTTTATAAATTATAATCTGATTTTTGATGTCTATTATCTGTTAGGATTCGGTGACAATTACTCCTCCGAACCCATTGACCACTACTTGTGAACCAATTGAAGTCTTGGATCTCCCGAAAGACATGAAAGACTTTATGACTTATCTGTTGGGATTGAGTGGCAATGATTTGGACTCTCCAGACGTGTCCCGCATATCGATGTATTCACAGTTGAAAGACATTTCCCGTACTCTTCAGTTCAAATCGATGCCCACATTTCTGGAGGCATTCATTCCGTTCGTTGTGACAGACTTTTGGCAAAAAGCGAATCTTGAATTCACTGCGAAAGCGAAGATTCGCGGCTCTCATCGGAAGTGTTCAGTTGTGGACAAATGGAAGACCGATAGAATGCACGACGGATTGGAAATGAAGTGCATTTCAATCATCGGAACCGAAGACAAGCCTTACTTCCGGTTCGGGCAGTTAGTAGTGATCCAAACGGCTTTTCAACCGCCGCCCAACTCCTCTCAGCCCACTGTTAGTCGACGCAAATACTTGGGATACGTGACCAACCATTCCGTCCGCGCAATCAATGCCGAACATCAGTCCGAAGTGAATCACTTGCGCTACTTCTGCAGAGAAGACAAACGAGACTATACTTTGATCGAAGAAATCTCTTTTATGACCCGATATAGCGAAGAGATGTATGAGAGAAACGATTGGCTTATGATCGCCCAACCGGTCATTTGTATTCACCACTATGTGCTCCAAATGAAGGCTATCTTCAAGTTTGAAAACTTCTCCATTTGGAGACAAATATTCTCTCCACTCTTCTCATCAAAACCTTCGGGCCTTTTATGTCAGATAAATGACTCCAAATTCAGTTCTAAGCACAGAGAGTGCATTCAGATAGCGATCGATGTGGTGTCCAACCCATCGCCCGCGCACTCAAACTTTGTACTACTTAAGGGTTCGGACAAATCCTATGTTTTGGCCGAAATTGTAAAGCAACTCGTTTTGTGCGACGGCTTCGGCCAATCAAAAGTATTGGTCGCTTCTAACGACACACTTGGACTCCGAAATCTCCACCAATCACTCAAACGTAATACCAAACGAATCTCCGATTACTTTGTGACCAATAATGTGTCGGATCTGAAGGATCAGACCATTAAACACATTAGACATAAGCTCACGAAGACATTGGACGAGAAGAAGAGGAGTCTATACGAGCAGTGTTTAGAGTACTTACACAGAGATATACATTTCGAAGAGATGTCAGTCGAGATGAGTCTGTTTTTGAGCGCTCTCTACGATCAGGTCAAACAGGAGTGTATGAGAGAGTGTTCAGTGATTATGGGACGCGTCGACGATCTCTGCAATGACACCATGTTTTACAAAATCTTCTCCACCGGAACGCCATTCAGTTGTTGCGTAATCGACGGCTCGGCGACAGTGACTGAACCGCAACTCTATTCCCTTTTGTGGTTTGGAATCAATAAATTTATATTCGGTTACAATTCTTACGAGAAAAACAAAGACCAAAACGATATTTGCGTCCGCTTTGGGTTAACGCGTTCTCTCTGTAGGGCAATAAATCTCGAGATGGCGTCGCTACTTAGGTTACGGAGGGTTAGCCGCTGACAAAAACTAAAAATTATGATTATTAATACTTAAATTACAAATTAACTTCAAAGAAAAGAATTTACAAAGGTATTTCTTGTTTTTTAGAAATTCATTCAATTTGTTTGTTTGTGTTTTTGTTAATTTTATGGCATTTTAAAGATATATTACTAATCATTGTTTATGATCTCATCGTTTGTGTAATTAACATAATAAGTTATACTGTTGTATGCATTTTATTCAATATATTATTAACATTATAAATCATTCACTATTTTCAATGATGTATTGTTGGCAATCAATGCGATAAAGTGTTAATTTTAATTAAGTTTTCCAATAATAAAAATAATTTTCAACAAAATGGAAATACCAGTCAATGTAATAAATGATTAAAAATCAATGATTATTTGCAATATTAAATTGGGGACAAAGTTTAAGATAAGGAGAGATAGTATTGTATAATTCATAAATGCAAAAAGTCATTCCCCAGGTGAGGCTCGAACTCACAACCCCGGCATTACTCAGAGCACATATACTGTCATATAAGTACCGTGCGCTAACCAATTGCGCCACTGGGGAGTGTGAACATCAGGCACTTTCCGTTATTTAGAGCTCTACCGCAGCGATGAATCCAATGCCTCCCAATCGGCGACTGTTTTTGATTTTTAATACTAATAATTATGAATTTAATGTTTAATTGAAGTTTCTTTTCTTAAATGTTTCCATATTCTTGTTTTTTAGGATTTCATTCAATTTGTTTGTTTGTGTTTTTGTTAATTTTATGGCTTTTTAAAGATATATTACTAATCATTGTTTATGATCTCATCGTTTGTGTAATTAACATAATATGTTATACTGTTGTATGCATTTTATTCAATATATTATTAACTTAACATTATAAATCAATGATTTAAAATCATTCACTATTTTCAATGATAAATTGTTGGCAATCAATGCGATAAAGTGTTAATTTTAATTAAGTTTTCCAATAATAAAAATAATTTTCAATAAAATAGAAATACCAGTCAATGTAATTAATGGTTAAAAATCAATGATTATTTGCAATATTAAATTGGGGACAAAGTTTAAGATAAGGAGAGATAATACTGTTTAATTCCTAAATAAAGCAAAAAGTCATTCCCCAGGTGAGGCTCGAACTCACAACCCCGGCATTACTCAGAGCACATATACTGTCATATAAGTACCGTGCGCTAACCAATTGCGCCACTGGGGAGTGTGAACATCAGGCACTTTACGCACTATTATGGCTCTTAGCCAACACTTTGAGGCATTTTTGCCTAACAATTGTAAGCTTCGCTTCTATAATGTAAGCACTCATTACGTGCGCTCAATACCAGATGCCGTCCACAACACTGTTAACTGGTTTTTCTCATTCCAGAAGCAGAGTTTGGAGAGAGAAAAAAGTTTAAAGTTCTTGAAAAGGTATACAAGGAATATATGGTAAGAAGTTGGAGGGCTGGAGGACTGGTAGACTTGGGACTGCAATATATATTTAGACGACTGCCAGCGCTTTAATAGCCTTGAGGTAAAGCTTGTAAGGAGAGAAACACAGCATTCCTGGACCTGAATATATAGATTCGTAAGCATTATATCTTGAGCTGAGCGCACCTGAAGGCACCTGTAGAACAGCTTTCGTTTCATGAGAACAGCCAATAGAACAATATATATAGAATATATGGTAAGAAAAGTCGACTCCAATACACACACAACACAACACATACCTGTCCTTTGGTTTTGATGCCATTGATGCCAAGTTGGCCTCACTTTGCGACTCCTATGCCCAGCGATCGCTACAAATCATTACAACTCCCATAAGTAAACACAACTTCACCGCTAGTGTTATGTTAACCTCTTTCATGTCATTCCTCTTTATTTGCCACTAATTGTTCGCGCATTTCATGTCAAACACAGACCTCTTATGTCAAGTGATTTGATTTGTTGTCAATCAATACATCCTATAGTATTGGTTTCGTATCGCTTTTAGGCGAAAAGTTTGCCACAAGTTGTGTCATCACTTTTCTCTCATCGCATCCATTGATTCCTTTCCATCAAAGTGTCAAATAAGCAAATTCTTGACCACAAGTCATGAATCCTGGAAACAGTGAATTGAATTATCTGTGAGTTTCGGAATAATCGCCAAATCAATCGATATGGAGGACGAGTTGGAAAGGGTATGTGACCAGAGGTCGTATGTCTCGCCTGTACTCATGTTTGTACCTCTCGTTTAATCCCAAAGCCGCCCGATTTGTCGGTCGATGGCGTCGACGATATGGTTAACTTAGAGTGAGTTTTGCTTTCATTAATCGTATATTCATAGCACCGGAAGTGTATGTCTATTAAGATATGACAATTGAAGTCATATTTCAATGAGAAATGCATTTTTTCATAAGTTTTTCCAAAGTGTATATCATTTTGTAGACTTGTGAGCGCTTGTGAGCCCAGCCTTTGAAATCAAATGATTGTGACGTAAACTAAAAAATAAATATAAAATAAATGATTGAAATGCATAAAAATAACACGTTATCAAGAATTTAGAGTTTAAATGCTATTAATGGGCCGTCCATTCAATTAATACTTTTTGTTATTTGAAACGATTTCATAAATAAATTAAGAAATTATTTGAGTTTCAAAATCGCTGTGATTTGGAAAACGATTATCTATTAAATATATATTAAAGTGTTTCGAAAGTTTTTAATTTTTTGTTATACTTTTCAATGCCTTTACAAAATGGTAACAAATAATATCAATCGGAATATGTTATCAGAGATTTCAAGTTTTGCATAGGTTTTCATTTCCTTTTAATATTTTTTGTATATGAATTCAAAACCTTATTATTTAATTCAATCAAGTGTTTGAAAGCAATGAATTACTCGTTTCTATGTGTCTAATAATTTACGACATCTCTTAAATAAACCACATTTTTATCTCTCGGTCTCTCTATTTATTTCACATCAAATTTTTTCTTTAAAACTTTTTTCTGTGACAAAGTATTTACAGAAAAAAAACTATTTTATAGAAAACTACTATTTTTATTCATTAAATGAATTTTAAATAAATTTTTTAATACAATTAATTTGTATTTTTTGTTACATTTACTAATCTGGAGAAAAACAATTATAACCTGTATATAGTATCGAAAACATGGCTAATTTATTGTTTTGTTTTTTGCAATTAAATTTAAGTGAAATGTAATGTAAACTAAATTAAATTTCCATTTAAGAATAGGGGAAACAAAATAAAACCTTGTTTTTGTCGTTAAGTTATTATTATTATTATTGACTATTTTTTTTGCTTTAACTGAAAACGATTTTTGAAATTAGAAAATAAGTTTATGCCAAACAAAAGAGAAATGTTTGTGTCATTTACTCAAAAATCTAAATAATATTTCAATAAAGCTGTCAATTCTGTAATTGTCATTAGTTTATCCTAATTTCCATTCTTTTAGTTTTTATTCTCTCTCTCTCTCTTTCTCTCTCTCTCTCACATTAACCAGTAATACATGGCATTAGTGTTTGGATTTATTTTAAATGTCAAGTTGTGTTTAATTAAATGGAAATAATGCGATAAACATGTATTGCAATGTAACAAATAAATTATAAAAGTTATATACAATACAAACTTTAAAATTCAATTCAATAAAAATTTCTACACCATTTGAAAGGCCAATGAATATGCAATAAATAAATATATTTTTAACAAAAAAAGTTCAAACAAATAAATTATTTGATATAAAAACAAATAAATTGTTATAAAAACTCGTATAAAATATATTTTGCTGTGACTTAATATGAATTCAGAGAAAAAATAACAAAAATATGTTATTTGTTATTCATTTGATCGCATGTTTTGAAAATTGAAATAAGGTTTGAAAGGGTTTCACAAAAACAATTACATAACTTTCGTAAAGCATTGAAAATGGTTTAATAAAAAGGATCGAAACACCCATTTATATAGCGGTAATTAAAAACGGTTTTAATAAAACAAAAGTAAAAGTCATATACAATGTTAAACAATAGAATTTACATTTGTATTCAAATCTCTCACATTGTCTTCAATGGCAAAGACAATGAGATGACCCGACCATTGGATATCATATGAATATCATTATGTAATATACAGTGCATTGCAATACATGTTTATCGCATTATTTCCATTTAATTAAACACAACTTGACATTTAAAATAAATCCAAACACTAATGCCATGTATTACTGGTTAATGTGAGAGGGGGTCGAGGGTTGTAGGGGTAGTTTGATTAGTTGATTATAACATTTAACTTTATATTTATTGCCTATTCATTGGCCTTTCAAATGGTGTAGAAATTTTTATTGAATTGAATTTTAAAGTTTGTATTGTATATAACTTTTATAATTTATTTGTTTTTTGCATAGTTATTGAATTCTATGTTGAAATTTATTTATATACAAAGATGTTCTCAAAGAGAGATTTATAAAAAAAAACACAACTCATGAGGTTTTTGGGCCACCTTTTGAATTATGACAACGGCTTAGGGCTTACTATTTAAAAATATTCATATATTTTATACACTTTTTATTATTATTACAATTAATTTTATAGGGATTTAAACGAAGCGTCGATTCTCTGGAATATAAAGACGCGATACGACAACGAGATCATAAATGTAAGCCTTTTTTCTCACATGCATTTCAAATACTATAATACTATTTGTGTTTATTATTCAAACATTTGCTGCGAAATAAGAGTTCATTCATTCGCTGAACAAATCAAACGAAAAGAAATAATTAAATGATAAGATATTTGTGAGAATTTTCTACACATTTGGTGACATCAAAGATATCAAAGCTTTTTTCGATTGTCAATAAGTTTTCGCAACACTTCTTTTAAATAGAAATCTAATTTTTCGTTCACAAAATTCGATGTAATTATAGGAAGTTTTTTTCCGTAAAAATTTCTTCATTTCCACTCATTTTAGATGAGAGAGAGAGAGAGAGAGAGAGAGAGAGAGAGAGNACTACGAGTCTCAAGAGTCGGACTTAAAGGCTGGTCAGAGAGAGAGAGAGAGAGAGAGAGAGAGAGAAGTATATAAAACTTGAGGCGAATTTTAAGTGAATTATATTTACTTTAAGCAAATTTCATTCCTTGAGGTCATCTTCAGTAATGTTTTGGTTTAAGATATTCTGAGACGAGTTTACAGTATATTCCTATTCATTGCCAGAAGTTTATTGCTATACAAGACGTATAAATATTTGCATTTTTTGCTGTTATGTCTTCCCATATGTGATAATTATAAACTTCTTTTGTAGACTTCTTTTAGTAAGTCATCAATTGTTTAAACACTAAATAAAAAGTATTGAATAATGATTATTAAATATAGAAATAGATTTTGGATTTAAATACTAATGAAAATGGGAAGGAATTTAGGGCGTGATCTCGAAATAATTCAATGACCCTTTTATTTCTGGTTATCTCTCATAATATTATAACAATTTTATGACACAATTCGCTAAAAGATATGAAGAATTCCTAATTATTAAAGAATTGATCGAAAAATATTAAATTTATTCCAATCTCTCAATGGATTCCCAGAAAAGAAAAATTAGTCCAACATTTTTGAAACAACTCTTTTCGACAAAACTTTTTTACATTCACTCCATTTGTTTTCATCGCTTTTGGCGTTCAATTGACGAGTTTTCTATAGAAGTTGCCAAAAGATTTTTTCAACAAATTGTTTTCATTTTATTTATTTTTATTTAAAAATATTATTACTGTATTTCAATCGATAAAAGTTAGAGAATTCTCACTACAATTATCGTAATTCATTGAATTAGTTTACAACCAAAACGATCTACATTTGAATATAATCTTATGTTTTTATTTCAAATGAATATCACATTTAAATTTAGTTACACAAATTTATTCATGTGAATAAATATCATTACATCTATAAATATCATGTTCATTTATAATGTCTGATTACAAACATGAATAGTAGGCTCTGATGTGAATATATTTAAGATTTTGACAGCAAAAGTAAAAATCATTTTATAAGAAAATTACATGTATAACCAAATTGATCTAATTAATATCAATTAAAATAAAATTAAAATTTTACAAATACAAAACAAAAATACAGTTAAAATTAGAATCCAATAATATTGTGCAATGAGCATGATGATTTATATATTGATTGACCCGAATATTATTGCTTTCAATTAATTTAATTTAATTAATTAAAATTCAATTATTCCAGACTTTTATTGGAAGTATTTTAGTTTCTGTCAATCCGTACAAAATGTATGACATTTATGGCCTAAATATGGTTAAGAAATACGAGTCACAAATATTGGGAACATTACCGCCGTATGTGTTAACACATGTTATCCTAAATGATGAGCAAAATTTAAAATGCATTTGATTTGTAGCCATTTATTCGCAATCGGAAGCAGCGCTTACAGTAAGATGAATGAAGACAGTGAGGGACAGGTTGTTGTGGTTTGCGGTGAAAGCGGCGCCGGAAAGACAGAAAACACTAAACTATTGATGCAATACTTGGCCGCAGTCAACAAGTCTTCGTCTAATATTATTACGGAACAGATCTTAGAGGCGACGCCTCTTCTCGAGTCTTTTGGTAACGCAAAGACCGTTAAGAATAACAATTCGAGTCGTTTTGGAAAATATTTAGAAATCTATTTCAAAGAGTAATTTTCTAAAAAATTAAAATATCATTAAAACTATTATTGATTACTATATTTTGCAATTGCAGTGGACTTATAACCGGCGCCCGGACTACAGAATATTTGTTAGAAAAATCAAGAATTGTGACACAATCTCAAGACGAACGCAATTATCACGTCTTCTATGAGCTGTTGGCCGGACTCACGCCAGAAGAGAAGGAAAAGTATGGCTTACAAGTGGCCGAAAAGTACTTCTACTTAAATCAGGGCCAGTCGTGCGAAATCGACGGCAAAGACGACTCCGAAGGCTTTCGGTTCCTATTGAGCGCAATGCAAGTGTTGGGCTTCACTAACGAAGAACAGGACACTATATTCCGAATGTTGGCATCAGTTCTTCATTTGGGAAACATATACTTCCATCGAAAGCAGTTCAGACACGGACAGGAAGGCGTCGAAGTGGGCAGCGATGCCGAGATCCGCTGGGTTTCACATCTATTGCAACTATCATTGGACGGCATTTTCAAAGCCATGACCATTAAGACAACGGAAGCCCGCAATGAGAAGATGATGTCTCCGCTCAATATAGATCAGGCGCTCGACGCCAGAGATGCCATTTCCAAAGCCCTCTACTCGTGTCTCTTCTCATGGCTCGTCCAGAGAGTCAATCACATGATATTTAAAGGCAGTCGAAAAGTATTCCTCGCGATTCTCGACATCTTTGGTTTCGAGAACTTTAAGGACAATAATTTCGAGCAGTTGTGTATCAATTACGCCAACGAAACACTTCAGTCATATTTTAATAAATATGTCTTTAAATTGGAACAAATGGAGTACTCGAAGGAGAAGATAGAGTGGCAACCATTGAGTTTTCCCGACAACACGTCTGTATTGACTCTGATATCGAAAAAACCGGTCGGAATTCTGCCACTTCTCGACGACGAAAGCAATTTCCCAAAAGCCAGCGATCAGTCGTTTCTGGAGAAGTGTCACTACAATCACGCCCTCAACGATCTGTACAGTCGACCGCGTATGTCGTCCATGGAGTTCGGGATTAAGCACTACGCGGGTCAGGTCTGGTACTCTGTCGACGGCTTCCTCGACAAAAACCGAGACACTCTCAGACCCGATGTCATGGATCTGTTGATTAGCAGCAAAATGCCAATGATTTCAAAGATGTTTCAAAATCTGCGCGAATCCGTCGAATCAAATAAGACCTACAGTCGAAGTGACGGCCGATTCATAACAATGAAACCGCGGGCACCGACTGTTTCGGCCAGATTTCAAGACTCGTTGCAATCACTGCTGGAAATCATGTCGAAATGCAATCCATGGTTCGTTCGGTGCGTAAAACCAAACAACGAGAAGACATCCATGAAATTTGACGTTCCCGTAGTGTTGGAACAGTTAAGGTATTCGGGAATACTTGAGACAATTCGTATCCGAAAACTGGGTTTTCCCATAAGAATCAAATACCAACAGTTTGTGTTGAGATACCGGTGCCTACTATTGAACCAAACGCCTCGCGGAACCTCTTCTAAAGATATTTGTCAATTAATCTTAGAAAGAGTTCCAAACCATAGCCAACAATATCAGTACGGATTGACTAAAATATTCTTAAGGGAAACACTGGAACTGACTCTCGAAAAAGAAAGACGAGAAGTAATGCTGACGTCGATCATCAAAATTCAGTCCTTAATTAAGGCATTTATAGCCAAACGTCGTTATCGTAACTATCGCTCAAATGTAATCAAAATTCAGTCAACGTTTAGGGGGTATAGAGTTCGCCGGGAATACAATAATCTACGGAATAGTGCTATAAAAATACAGGCAAACTATAAGATGAAGAAACAGAAAGTCGAGTACCAGAAACTAAAAGCGTTGAAATCACGACAATTAGAAGCCGAGAGAATAGCGTTTGAAAAGACAAAAGAGAAGACACACAGAGATAAGAGAGATAGGGATGAGTTGGAGCGTTCGTCCAGAGCTGTGGCCGGCATTAACCACTTGGAAGTGCCCGCAGAACTGGCCTTCATATTGAGCAAACTGGACGACTGGCAATGCATTCACTCCAATCAGAATATAGTGAAAGTGAACTCTTCTGTCCACCAAATGCTGCACAAATGGCGCCTTCCGTCTGACATTGATTACTATGCGTTCACTAAATTTACTAACATTTACTTCAGGGCTCATATATGGGGTATGAAACGAGAGCCCATCAAAACACCCTTCTTAGCCAAAAGTAGTGAAACAGACTTTCAAGAATCGGTTGCAATATTTAAATTGGTAAAAAATAATTCTTTACAAGAATTTTTATATGTATTAATTATATGCCTATTGTCTGAATGAACAGATCCTCCGATTCATGAATGACAGCAATTTAAGCGGAAAGAAAGAGAAAGCATTAGCCGATTATATCACACAAAAAGGTCTCTCCAATACAGGACTTAGGGATGAGATTCTTTGCCAACTCTGTAACCAGACCTGGAAGAATGAGAACGAGGCCAACAATGAGCGGGGCTGGCAATTGCTCGCTCATTGCTTATCAAGTTTCCCTCCGAGTCCTACTCTTTACAAATACCTATTAAAGTAAGTTTTATCACAAACTTATATTTATATTGTATTTATATCGCAATCAATATTTGTAGATATGTCTCGGATCAGGCCTTTGATGGTTACAAAGCTGTCACTCAGAAACAGGTAAATGCTATGATTAATGCTGCGATTGAATCATTAGATAACTTTTGAACATTACATGTGTTATCAGTTGCTTCAGAGCGAGAAGTCTGAGAGTCTGAATGTGCGGACATATCCGCCCTCTCTTCTGGAATGGAAGGCAAACAACAAGAGGTGTAATATGGCATTAGAGGCAACCTTTTCTGATGGTATGTCATAACTGATTAAAAAACTAATAATAAAGATATGACAGGAATGTTGTTTATTGACTGACATTATCTGTCTCTCTATAGGCGACCAGAGATACGCCCCAATCGAGTCCTGGACTTCAGCCGAAACCTTTGCATCGGAAGCCCTGCGCGCAAAAGGACTCAACTCGTGCTTTGGTTGGACTGTAGACCTCGACGACGACGGCGATGACTACGGACTCAACGGCAGTGACTTTGTTATGGATATAGTGTCACAAATGGAAATCCCGAACACATTTCCCGCCAACAAAAGTTATTTCTTGGTTTCTGCCGATCGATCCAAAGAGAGAACAGACAAACAGAATTTGTATGAAATTCAATGAATTTTATGTTTTAAGACCAGAATTAATGACTTAATCTCTTTTCATAGATATCATAATCCCGAGAGGATTAATAAGTTTGAGCTCAACTTTGAGGAGTCAATACCGGTGCCATCTTTTCAAAATCACTACGAGTCTCAAGAGTCGGACTTAAAGGCTGGTCAGAGAAGCCGTCAATATTTGCGTAGAAGTGATATGTCTTCTGACGGCAATCAAAGGGCGCGTTCCCTATCGAGAGAGCATTTAAATCAAAGCGAAACCAATGATGAAACTCAAGCGCCGACAACAGAGCAAGACTTGGGTCTCTCGAAGAAGAGTAAACTCAACGAAAGATATCTACAAAATAAGAGCCAATCGATTGGCAACGAGAAGATACAGCTCTCGGAGACGAGTAAATTGAATCAGAGATACATTTCCAATAAATCAGAGGCCGAGAGAAAGAACAGCGACAATGACTTGCGATCCAAGAAGCGAAACATTCACTCAAAAACAAGTGATAAGAAGTCAAAACTGGATAACAAGCGAAGTATGTCAATGCAAGAGTTGGGTTTGGCTTCTTCTGCGCTCAACGATAGATACTTCTCCAGAACTGATTTACACAAAACCGCATCACTTACTGAAGGCAGTGATAGCGGCGCCGATCCTAACCCTCCTAACAAAATATTAAGTCTTTCGGCGTTCAAAGGGGAGACCTCTTCGGCGTTGAATGAAAGCCATTCCAAAGTGAATTCCCGCACAAACATGAGTTCGCGTCCACTTCCGGCTGAGCCCGGCATCGAAGACAATTCTAAGAGATCGCCGCCCAAGAAATCGCACTCAAGAAAGTCTCATCTCATTCGTCCATCGAGTCGGTCCTCATCGTCATCATTGTCTTCAGTCGCCTCTTCTATGGATCGAGAAATTGAGTTTCCAATCATTGAAAGTGAAAGAAATGGCGAAGACTTGAGTGAATTTAACGACAAATCTAGTGAACAAAACGCTAGATATCAGAAATACGGCGGAAAACAACTCATTCCTTCACTTAATAAGCATTCGCTCACTTCTAAGGCCTATATCGACAGATCTGTCAGTAGAGACAGTGAATATCAATTGGTTGCGATCCAAGAAGCGAAACATTCACTCAAAAACAAGTGATAAGAAGTCAAAACTGGATAACAAGCGAAGTATGTCAATGCAAGAGTTGGGTTTGGCTTCTTCTGCGCTCAACGATAGATACTTCTCGAGAACTGATTTACACAAAACCGCATCACTTACTGAAGGCAGTGATAGCGGCGCCGATCCTAACCCTCCCAACAAAATATTAAGTCTTTCGGCGTTCAAAGGGGAGACCTCTTCGGCGTTAAATGAGAGCCATTCCAAAGTGAATTCCCGCACAAACATGAGTTCGCGTCCACTTCCGGCTGAGCCCGGCATTGAAGACAACTCTAAGAGATCGCCGCCCAAGAAATCGCACTCAAGAAAGTCTCATCTCATTCGTCCATCGAGTCGGTCCTCATCGTCATCATTGTCTTCAGTCGCCTCTTCTATGGACCGAGAAATTGAGTTTCCAATCATTGAAAGTGAAAGAAATGGCGAAGACTTGAGTGAATTTAACGACAAATCCAGTGAACAAAACGCTAGATATCAGAAATACGGCGGAAAACAACTCATTCCTTCACTTAATAAGCATTCGCTCACTTCTAAGGCCTATATCGACAGATCTGTCAGTAGAGACAGTGAATATCAATTGGGTATCAGAGGGTCGGCGATGTCGGACACTTCGGAATCGCCTTCACTCGCATCTCATGTCAGAAATATCAGAATTCCTTCGCATACATCAGAATTAGATCAATATTTGGATGACTTATTCAATCCAGTCTTAGACGCAAATCTCGATGAGTTGAGTGACGCCCGATCTTTGGCCGCCTCTATAAAAGGTGGCTATTCTTCGCACGAATACGAAATGTCTTCATCTGATAAACACAATGCCTTCAAAAATATCATTACAAACAAAAAGACAAATCGATTGAATGATTATTCCTATGATTTGGAAGACATCGAAACCAATGAATTCGAGGCTTTAATAGAGGAAAACAAATTAGTTTCCGCTCTGAAAGGGGGCGGAAATAATGAACTCGAAGTATAAAATTTTTTATATATAATTAATGCTTCATTTGTTTACTTAATTGCTTTCAATATTTACCAAATGACTAACGATTGATAAGCGCTAAACATTATTATATATTTCTGTATTAATAAAATTCATATAATTCATTGTCTTATTGCATAAGTACTGTCTTTCTCTATGTTAGCACATATACACTGTATATTCTTTATCTTTAACTATCAGTAAAATTATTGACTTAAGAATTATAGGATTAATGAATGAATTAAATAATCTAGATCTAAAGTAGTATACAAACATTAATTGACATTTAAATATTGAAAACAATATATTAATTATTTTGATTGCATTGAAACGATAGACATCTCGCAAACCGAATCTCAGTATATCAACGAATTTGGATTCGAGTCGATCTAATACACCATCCGATGGTCTCAACGACTCGTCCAACGGAGCGCATAATATGGGTCTCATGAGTATCGCGGGAATGACTGTCCCAATGGTGGACACGTCTCAGATGATTCAGCAACAGGTGCTGCACCAGCAGATGGTTCAGATGCAACAAAGGGCTTTTCTCGCCTCTTCCCTTCAACAGAATCTCGAAATACAGAAACAACTGTTGCAACAAAACCAACAGCTCCAGCATATGTTAGTCCAGTCGTCAATCAATGGTCCCAACTCTCCCATAAGCAATGGTCAGTCCAACGAAGCGGTTTCGCCCAACATCTCGTTGTTGTCGCCGATAACGCCATTATTGCAAATACAGACAATGCCTTTAATGTCGTCACCGATTGGCGAAACACAGCTCAATACTGATAATATTACTCTATTGGATACCACGTCCGCAAATCGATCGCATATTCCCGGTTCAATTCCTCCGCCACCCCCTCCACCTCCACCTCCGCCCCCGTTGTCTCCATCCGCAGCCGATGTGTACAGAAGAGCAAAGACTGTGAGAATAGGCAAATGGCGATGGCCTCCACCCGCAGAGGGCTCCGAACCATCCAATAATTTCTTTGACTTCAAACGAAAGAAACAAATCCAGAAAAATGAGAAGAATAGTGAGGAGAGGGACGAGCACTCAAACGAAGTGACAGATAGTTATAACATAAATGAAATAAGTGTTTCAATTCCAGCCAATAATCCTAAACCCGAACCCAAAAGTAATGAACACAACGGAAAAGTTGAGAAAGCGATCAAAAAAGATGAGAAAATAAAAGTGATTCGAAATGTAGTTCCGGGAAGTATTGGGAAATTACGGATCAGTTCCGAAATGAAGGCCAAACTCGAACAGTTGACTATCGATCAAAGCGTGCGCTCGAGAAAAGATGGCAAAGAGAGGACATCAATGCAGAGCAGAAGTATGGACGACATCGCGAGCGTCGGCGCCGTTAAGAAGTTGTCGGAACAGCGAAAAGCACTTCTGGAGAAACAATTAATGGGATCATTAATGGGATCGTTAAGGAGTCCTAATGAACTCATTGAACACAATAATAGTCCACTAAATGCACGCCTCGGGCACAGAGAGGAGCCGACAGACGCTATGCATTCAAAATACGCCCAAAGCGTTCCGGTTCTCAACAATTATGAGAGCTCTCAAGCGGACACTTCCAGTCCTTTTGCTAACAATGTGTCAAATCGTTCAGAAAAAGTGCGCAAAACTGTGAGCAGAGAAATACGCGAAAGACGTGACGAATTGGGGCCTTTCAATAGGAGGGCCGGAACCATGACCTCAACCATTCAGGCCGAGTGCGGCGATCGTCTCAGTTATTCAACGGAACCCGAGAGAGCCTTCTTCGACGAGATGAGTGCCACCAATAGTATGGCCTATGAGGACAGCATTGTGTCCAGTAATATGAATCTCCAGAGATCTGGCCTAAGGCTAAGCCATGACATGAACCAGTTGTCCAAACCGGTCAGACGTATGAACGTTCCGCCCCCTCCGCCTCCAATCAACGGTATGCTGAGCGCAACGCTCGCTAACCCGGCGTATCATTGCTTACCGCAGATGAACGGAAGCGGTCCGCCATCAGTGGCCGCGTCGAGCAGTTATTACGCTCAGAGTTCTCCGATTATGGCTAAACGGAACCGCAAACTCCCGCCGCCGCCCATCGGTTTAGCCGTCTCTCAGGACAGGCTATCCTTCGATCGAATTGAGTTCGAAGAGAGCAATGAGTTCTTGAATCCCGTCGACGCGCCGCCCCTTTCCATCATTAGTCGACCGCAACAGACGACTGTCGACAAGATTAAGACCAAACTCTTTCAGGCCAGTGATGCGCCGATTCTCACCTATTCTAAGATCAATTGGAAATTAAATGTCAGAAAAGAGGTAAGTCTTTGCAATTGTTTAAAACATTTATAGATATTTGATATACTTTTATCCGATATGTCAGGTCTTCTCACCGCAAGAAACCATCGATAATCCACTTATGCTTCACTTAATATTCTTGCAAATAGTTAGGGACTCCTTCTCTTCCACTTGTATTCGTCTGACACAAGAAGAGAAGTTCAAAATTCAATCCAAACTGCAAACGGCGGGCATTGATATCGAGAATGTGTTCACTTCTAACCCCAAAATTCAGTTCCAAAAGAGTTTGATAGAAATGGGTCGAGAAATGCCCACTTATTTCTGTCGCTTATACCCGGTCTCCGGGGGTAGGAATTTGCCAAACGTTCACTTACTGGGCATCTCTCACACCGGCGTCCGACTCATTCAACGGGAGAGGAATGCAGTTTGCGATTACCTTAAAGTATTGGATCGTCTCAGGTATTGACCAAAACAACCGTTTCGTTAATATTATAATAATTTAATTTTTATCAATAGTTTGGATGATATTTCGGAAGTAATAATTCCCAAGAGTTGTACGATTCAGATACTGCTTTGCGGCGGCGGATGGATAACACTCTTCTCGCCAAAAGTATTTATAAAGCTTATAAAACTTTATATTTTTTAAACATTTCTTATTGTTATAAAATATTTTCTTAACACTTCTTATTGTTAACTTTAAGGCCATTCAAATCAAGAGCTTAATTGAAAAGTTTGCATTAGAAACACAAGAAGTATGTATTGATGTGATGATCGATTTGATACACATTTAACACAAATTTATAACTATATTTAGAGTCAGATTGAATTTGTTCGAGCGCTCAGACATTACACCAGTGATGAGCCGTCGATACTTGGCTTTAGAAAAGGAGATATTATTCGTATACTTAAAAACAAAAATCTTCAATTATCTAAAGGTTTGTCAATGCCTTCGCGTTTTGTTTTATAGCATTTTAGTACTGAATTTAATGTTCAAATCATAACGTATTTAAAACTTAATATTTAAGTCTTTATTGCATAAAAAGGCAATTAAACGGTTGTGAAAGTATTTGTGCATTACTTTTAATTGCAGTCATTATGTGAACAATACTTTACTTTTTCTCAAAAACATGTCTGTTATTTAAGATAGAAAGTCATGACAGGATGACTATCTCGGCAAACAATTATCTACAAGTATTCACACAAAAATAGTTTAATTTTAAGAAAATTAAAAATACACTAAAAATAAAAGCAAGTTTTTTTACTAATGTCTGCTTTTAATACTTTATTTTTTTATTAATTTTTTACTTTACTTAAAATGACTAATAATAGGTTAATCTGTTTATATACAGGTATAAATGGACATGTTTATTTTTATGTTAATCATTTTGTATTGTTTTTATTTAATATACATACGTATATTTAACAGTTTAATATAATTCATATTTTATGTAAAGTGTTTTTAAGCTATATAATCTATAAATTTATAGACACTATACTATAGAGTATTATTAGAATTTTAAGTCCAAGTAATTGTATTTAAAATGAATGAAATAATTTGTATACTTTTAAAAATCATCCGAAAGCTCAATGAAAACGGAAGTTATTTTAATTGAAAAATTATAAGTAAGGAATTGTCTTAATACTAATTTTTGCTTAACATTTATAAAAAACATTTTACTGTTAAACAATAGGCATTTGTCATCCCTTTCCTTTCAAGTAGTCAGTTGTCAATACTTTACAATAGTATTGTTCAATGCCTTCAGTGATGGGAAGTTTAGAAACAAATGTTTTTAGAGAAATAAAAATAAAATTCTAACTTTATTTACGAAAAACGACAGACAATACCGTTTGTCTCATTCATTCATTTGTCATTTGCGCATTTATTTTATATTTGTTTTTTAAGTAAGATATACACATCATTTGGTTTATTATTGCGAAATGCATTCAATTGAAGTTAAAGTGTATTTTATTTACTATTTTGTGGGATGCATTACCTGGATAGTGATCGGCGATTCGCATTATCATATTCTATCTATTTATTATTCTCGAAAGTAATTATTATTTCTTTTACTAAATAATAAAATTATATTAAAAATTACAGTAAATTGCAATCTAACGTTAACTAATAAGTGTAAGATTAAGTTTAACATTCTAATTTAATAATAAATATACTTTACGTGCTTAAATTAATATTAAAATATGAACATTAGTTATTTATTATTATACACTTAAGTATATTAAAAATACAGTATTTATTAAATTTTAGTTTTAGTAACTGTAGCTACTGTAATATGCAGTAGTTATGAATTTAAACATGTTTACTACCCCTTGGTCATTTTTAATAAATAAGTTATTTTTATTATTTATAAATTATAACAATTGCTGGCAATTAATTTGTTTACAAAATTAGTATGTTCCATGTTTTATGAATCCATGTTATATCATTTATCATGAAGAACATTGAAAATAATTTAAGAGATTTGTGATATTAGTTTTTATTATTTTTTCTAACCTAAGTGTTAGACAGACTATAAAATAAGACTTTAGCTTAATATAAATTTCAATCACAATTTCTTATCTAATAAAATTTAATCTCACGTTTTAAGATATAAATCCCAAATAAATATCACTTCAAACATA